ACGATCCCCCATCTTCGATCGACGATTCCGCCCAGGCCCTGCAACAGTGAATTAGGGTTAGCTATGGAAAGTTCTGGAACAACTCCACGCTATAAGTAGCGATCCAGCCTTAGAGGTAGGGGGCAGAAAAGTGGACTACATTTACGTTATTCTCTTGCTAACTTAAGCATCGGAGCCCGTGTGACTAGAGTCACACCGGTTTAGCTCGATTTGATTTTGCAGGTACTAGTCCTGAATCAACAAGTTTGGTGGGTGCAAGGAGGAGAAYCGGAGGACCAAAATCCACGCATCAACAACTTTATAGCCACATATAGGTTATATCTCTATATAAGTATATGTTATAATAGGTATAGTTTATATCACCATTCTTAAGTGTATGCTGCTTAAATTTATAGCCGAATATAGTTTAGATTTCCATGTAATTGAAAAGGTAACTAGATATAGTTTATATCTTTATATAAATATATATATATATTTCCATATAAGTGTATGGTATAATGACTATATTATTGAAATTTGTCAAAAATTGTAATAAAATAAAAAAATATTTGTAATAAATTTTATTATTTAGTAGAATATATTAAGGAGCAAATTTGGGGATTATATAGGATAATAATTGAATATTTTGTAATAAATTTCATTCTTGAGTAGAATATATTAAGGAGTAAATTATGAGATTATGAGAATGATTGATTTAGGTCCCACAATAATTTAATGTTTACAAAATCAAATTTGGAATATTAATTTTTTGCATTTAAATAAAAGACAAATTATAATGAATATAAATGCCATGAATAAGAGCAAATTTGGTATTTGGAAAAAATTTTAAATCCAGAAATCTAATACCGTAAAATTTGTAAACATTGGACATTTTGTGAAAATAAGTTTCCAAAATAGCTTATCCAAGACATTATCTCCAACATCTTTGATATTATTTTTCGACTCAAAATAGTATGGACCCATTTCATAACCATTTCTATTTTTAGTTTTTCTATTTTTAGTTTTTGATTTTTAGTTTTCTGTTTTTAAAAGACAAAAATCATATATGATAACTGTTTTTTGTTTTTTGTGTTTAAAAACTTAGAAAATTGAAAATATATACTAGAGAGAGAAAATTCTATGTAAAGTAGAGATACCAATAATGTGGGGCGAGAGTGAGGACGTCATCTCTCATTCTCGTGTTCGTGAAAAATTTTAGTCCTCATCTCCACCTTGTTTTTCAGTTCGAAAATCGAGATCCAGGTCAAAGAATCCTTATTTAGGGATGGAGATATCTGCGGGAAAAAT